CTCTCAGTGATGCTGCAGTGTTCGTTTGACTTTGGGACCTGAATGGACAGAGTTTAGGACCCAGATTACCTTTCAAGGCTCCTGAATACGGCAGCCGTAATGCTCTTCGTAGCTTACAAAGTCGTACTAACTCTTTTGATAGACCACATAAAATAGAGCAAGTAGCAAGTACTCATCTCTGAACAGAGTCCAGTATTTACTTTCAGTGTATGGCAATCTCTTATTAAACGAAAAAGTGAGTCCGTTAGAGGTCAGTAAGCACAAGCAGAATTCATACATAAGCAACACCGGAGGCGCACTGTCAAATTTTGAGAAAATTAAAGGATGTGCCCTTTAGTAAGGAAAATACGGTATTGAAAGAAATTGTTCAGTGATTTCTTAAGATTACAATTGTTAAATTCGCCTATAATTAAAAATAGGAGCATCTGCAGAGAGAGAGTGCAGGTTGTGTATCACTTCAAAAATGGCGTCAGGCAGCAGCTTTGACGTCAGATTTGGGATGATTGTAAACAACAGTGACAAAGATTTGAGGGAATTCTCTCAGTAAGTAAAATGGCCTGACTTATGATTGGAAAATGTTGATTGCAGCAGGGAATTTTCATCAGCATAAACTTAAGACAATAAGTTTTTCTTATTGTTGTTGTTTTGCCTGTTACTGTGCTAGAACACCAGTGTTACACATCTTTTAGTGAGTGTCTGATGAGGGAAAGAGCCGAAGGTGCAGTAGGCCTTTCCAAGGTGTACACAGACTTTCACCCTGTGGCAGCTGGGACAGGGTCCAGCCCCTTAAAAACCCTGAATTGGATAAGCGAAAAGAATGGTTGGGTGGAAGTTTCTGCACAAAACCTTTATTTTCGCATGACTGGAAGTCACAAGTGTTTTTTCAGATCAACCGTTTCATATAATATTTTATATATCCTATGTAAGATTAAAATGCACACATACACTTTCAAGCTTTTATCAAAAACATATAGATTTTCATTTTGTTCACATTAAAGAATGTCCCTACTTTTCTGGAATTCCGGTTTTACTGAACAAAAAAAACCTTCCTCTGCACGCTCATAGTCACAGTTTTAGGTTCCCTGACACATTTAAATTTGACTGAGCTTGAATTGACAAAAATACTCCAATCTTAAGATAAAATGTGTTTATTAGGAATTTTAATTTTAAACTTTTTACAAAAACACACAAAACACTTTGTCAACACAGGTTGTCAACACAAACCAGGTGTTTTTTTTAAGACTAACCCTGTCACAGTCAAGCATAGACTTTTTAGTATAGCTCACAGGAAATGGAAATATCCACGCATAAGTTCAGAAGACAAAAGTGCAATTTTCAAATGGCAAAACAAATTAAACAGAAAATAATGAAACATTTAATTAGAACTCAATATATTACTTGCAAATTAAAAACGTAAAATAATCTGAAGCAGCAAACACTATAAACAATTGTCAGTGGTGTTTGACATTTTTAAATACGATGAAGGAATACAAGACAGTCAAAAGGAGTTTTATAGAGCTACGTGCACGGGTGAGTGATCGAGTGATACTCACAACCGAGGCATTGCAGTCAGATTTATTTATACCAAGAGACAGTTGAGTAGCATTTCCTGTTTTTCAAGCTTACTTATCAGCATGTGTGTGTGTTCTGTGTGTGTGTGTGTGTGTGTGTGTACGTGACAGGATGTAATGGCATGTGATACAAAAATATATGAACATTTTAATACATTTGAAAGCTTTATAACGGAGGTATCTTTTAATAATAGACATCTGCAGTTTAAACTTAAAAGTTACTTCTATCAACAATGTTCCAACATGACTGCTCACCACTGCACAAAGCAAGGTCCATAAAGACATGGAAGAGAAAGATTGGTGTGGAAGAACTAGACAGGCCTGCACACAGTCCTGACAACCTGATAGAACCTTTGGGATGAACTAGAACAGAGACTGTGAGCCAGGCTTTCATGTACCATACTCTTTCTTAGTATGTGTGAAGAAATACAAATTACAGAGAATCAGAATAGTACGCTCATTAAGTAGGTCTTCAGAGTTTTTCTCTCTCTCGTGATTCATAGCATCTGATCAATAAACAAAACATGCTTCTTGCTTCCCCAGTTTAACTGAATTCAGCTGGTTAATAACCGATGAAGCTTTTAATAAGAATAGTGCTTCTAAATTTCTCAAGATAAATCTCAGATGTCCACTTCACTACATTTATTAAGGTTGATGTTTGCTTAATTTACCTAAATCTGTCACAGAATCGTCCCCTTTTGTCTCTCTCTCTATGCTACAATCAACCACCTGTCTGATTATGTGCAGCTACATCTGCTGCAGTGCTGTGTACAGCACTGTGCTGTTACAGTCACTGCAGCATTGTAGCTGTAGCATTTTATCTGCTGCTACTTCTCCAGCAGTGTTGTCCATAGTGTAGCAGCACAGAGACAACAGCTGATTGTCGATGGGGTCTTTCCACATGAGAAAAACCAAAATCACATCCATGAAAGGATTGAACAGAAATAAATTTACGAGGATTAGAAGGGCAGGAATGAGAAAATAAAGTGAAACTGGTACAATATAAAGCATGATCAGGGGAAGGAACATCAGACAATGATTAACTAACAACAGAACTAAGATTTCTACAATTCTCTGTTTTTCTTCAGTGGGCACTGAGGTGGCAGCAGGCAGAGTTTTGAGGGTCCAAACCAAAGTGAAGACGAACAGGAAAAAAGGAACGACGGCAAAAAAAATTAACACAGGGAGTAAAATCACATAGAAGAATACAGCAAGAGGTACAGTGATAATAGACAGGATCCAAACCAGAACAGAGAGCAGCACAGAACCTTTAGTTTGTCTGATGCAGTTCCACTGTGGACGGGTGATGACCAAACACCTGCAACACAAGACAGACATACTGATCATTACAGGAGGACATTTATCTTTAGAGGGACGCTTGAGAATATGATTGAATGCAACACAGACAGAGAAAGACAGACAGGTACCTTTCAGTAGCAATGCACATCTTGAAGTCAAGATTAGCAAACGCAGCACAGCACAAAATTCCCTCAAAAATATAACGATAGAGAGCAGGGTTTGAGTGGAAAATCAAGAAGAAGATCAACGCGCTGAACTGGATCAGATTGGAGATAAGGAGGTTTGTGTAGTAGGTGATGGGGACCTGCTCCCTTCGTACCTGCAGAAAATATTAATGCAGTAATAAACATGACATTCAGAACTAAACATTTAAATGTTTACAGAAAATGATGTAGAGAGCTAGTTTTTTGATAACAACTGTATTAAGTGCCCAGAAAATATTTTTAGTGTGATTTAGACTAATAAGAAACTCAAAATGTGTAAAAGCTGCAAAATGGTCTGATGGAATTAAAAAGAGTGACAGATTGGTGACCAGTGCAGGTTTCACTCCACCTCTCACACTGTGACAGCTGCGATAAGCTTCCACTTCAGAAGCAGAAAAAAATGGACGGATGAATTCAGAACTAAACTTTATGAACTATTAACTCAGAAAATGAACATTTAAAGTGACAAAAGTGAAAAGGTCTTATAAAACTAGACTGTTTGTAAAAGTGAATGAGTTCAGCAGGAGTGAGACATAGAAAGTAATGAAAGTCTCTCATTTACGTACCACAAAAAACACCCAACAGCTCACTGCCATGGTTAAAGGAAGGCAGAAACAGATGCTTATCAGGCACATTATATGGAAGATATCCATCTCCAGCTGACTTTCTGTATGATGGATCCGCTATAAAAGCTCTACCCACTCTCTTCTCTTTGCCAAAGGATCTGCCTGAGTGCAGCAGGAGGTGTTAAAATAGTGAGCAGATCAACGTTGTTGTTATTCTGATATGAAATTATAGCAAAAGATATTAGAGAAAATTGTGCTGAAATAAAACAAAAGGGGAAAAACAAAATACTGGTTGAATTAAATTGAACGTGTCCTATATCGAGTCAAAACCATCTGGACTAATAAATCAATTTTCCACAGATTTTGTTTTCTACAGATGAAAAAAAAAAGCTAAACTCTTGAACCTAACTGAATTAGCAAGCTGTACTTATTAAACTGGTACCTGACTACAGAAATTATTTACCTATACGGAAGCCCTTAGTAGTTTGATCTGTCCACAAGCCTATCAGTTAAGTACAAAATTAAGCAGAAATAAAGCATAATCAATAAATATATTTTCATTTGTTTTTCATTTAAGCAGCTTTCATGCTGTTTACAAGGAAGCTCAAAAGAATAAAGTAACCACCTCCTGTATCTTCAATATATATACAAGTAAACATCAGCCTTACTTTCTTCAGCGCAGCTTCCAACTCAATAGTTAATTCAGCATTCTGACTTTTAAGATATTTTTATCAGAGCGAATCAGAAAAAGGAAATTGTGGTGGGTTATAAACTCCACCCCACAGCCCCCGTGGCAGCACATTCACACGCTTTGATGAGAATAGTCAAACCATTTTTATTCAATGTTATTTTCGTGTTCAGCTTTGTTTAGGATTAAGTATTAAATCCACTTCATGTCTCTGATAAATTAAACTTAAGCTTGAGCGAGTACAGCAGGCTGAGCAGACCTCTGTCTTTCAGCACAACACAAAACAGTGACTTGACTATGACGATTAACTTTGCTCACTGGCTGACTACTAAATCTGTAAAATAATTGAAACACCCTCCTGACACCCTGTACATAACTATAGACATTTAAAATCATAGTTTAGCTAATAGTGTACCATGATCTCAGTCGTTTCCTTTGCCTGTTGCAGAACGTCTCTGCAGTGGAGTTGCTTCTTTGTGGAGACGTGAGAGGCCGGAAGGTGATATACCAAGAGATGGCGCTTTCTTCAAAAAAAAAACAAAAACAAAACATTGACTAGGATAGTTAGCTATAGATGATTATTGTAGGTTCTTTATCTTATCATATAAACCACATCAAGGCCACTGCTTTGATTTCATTTATATAAATACAACTGAATAGAATTTCACATTCTTTTCTTAGCTTGTGTTGTAAACCTCTTCATCCATTAAATATAAAAACTTAGAGTTACGTTTTGAAAATGTCAAATAAATGCATAAAAGTTTACAGTCAGTTTGACCATTCAGATATTTTACACTACAAATTACCAAAACTCCAGTAAACCATTCTTCATTCATCCATTTCAATCTAATCTAATAAATAGATACAATTTCAAGGAAAATTATTCTATCCTGCTTTCTCCTGTAACACAAACCAGATGTGAAGGTTATTTCTGAGACTTGTAAACTTGTACACAAACTAGCTTATCGTTTGTTGTACTGTTGTACTAGCTATGACTGTGCAATGACAATAAAGAGTTCTCTTATCTTACAACTGCAGTGAGAGAAAATCATTAAAGCTGTTGGCCTGAAGCTGTAGGATAACTGAGATTTGCATAACTGATCTAGTTTCCTGATAAATACAGAAGAACTGCACATGTGATGTTACTAGGTTCTCTGGAAAAACAGGAATGCAAAATAATTTGCAAACTTTGTACAGCTGATAGCTTAGAATTATATGAGCTTCTGTTTGGTTCAGATCTATTTTCTCCCAAATCAAAATTGGCACATCATCACATTCAGATCATAATTTGTTTTGCAAAAACTGCTGGAATGGAGGGATTAGCTTCTCTACATGGTTGACATTAAGCTCTATGTCAGGAATGACTGAAACACTGATTTACTGATCCACACCACCAGGCTCTACAGCACCGACATTAATCCTGCACAGCATGTACCACTGTCAGATACAAAAAACTGGACTGAAAGACAGCATAGAGGCGCTCATCATGGCAGCACAGGAACAAGCTCTAGTGCTGTGTTGAAGGTAAATTATGAGTAAATATAATTCTAGTTAAAGATGGGAAATTTAAAGAGTCAAGAGACTTTTGTTACCAGTCATGTCTTTTAAAAAGCAGTTAAAAACCTGTTTAAACTCGCTTTTGGTTGATTTTGTTTTGTTTTAGATTTTAATGTTTGTTTTCTGCCTCTGTAAAGCACTTTGTGATTTTATCTTGAAAGGTGCTATATAAATAAAATTGTACTTTTTTACTTTTACCACACTACTGACTGCAGCTTTCAACACTAACCAGAACAATATGGGTAGTTTCTATGAGATTTGACTGTGAGGGGAAAGCTGTTCCACAGTTTGGGGGCACAGAAAACGCTTGATCTCCTCTGCATTTAAATTAAGAGTGAGACACAGTCAGAAACATCTGATCAATTGACCTGGAAGCTGAATAAAGAGGTCAGAGATGTAGAAAGCAGAAAGGAGCTAAACCATGAAGGGCTTTGTAGGCAAACAGGAGGGTCTTGAAATCTATTCTGAACCTCACTGGCAACCAGCGTAGAGATGCTGAAACAGGTGAGATGTGAGCAGCAGCATTTTGGACAAGCTGAAGACGGGACACAGAGGACTGACTGAGACCAACGTAAAGTGAACTGCTGTATGCTGTCATCTGCTTACCCTCCAAATATTATTAGAGGGGTTTTTTGAATATAAAAAGGGTCAGGTGTCCTGACAGGTGTCACTTCTCTCTTAGTTAAGCTGCTGGGAGCTTCCCAGACGCTAATGTTTTTGTCACTTTTTACATTCTAAAGTAATGTAAGTAAGTCCAGGCTTTAAACGCTGAAACCAAGCACACCATTGTTTTTCTTGTGACATTACCAATAAGTTTGATGTGTCACATGGCCCTCTTCCTATTGAA